TTAGACTATCAGTTAACCAAACTTTATTGCTGTGTAAGTCAATAACATAACAAGACATTATTGCCATCTAAGTCAAACAGTAAACTAGGCACTTTAAGTGACAGAATTTACCGTGTAAGCCTCTGCTAGCAGGGAATTTGCCATCTAAGTCAAACAGTAAACTAGACACTTTGCCGTCTAAGTCAAACAGTAGACTAGACACTTTGCCATCTAATAAGTCAAACAGTAAACTAGACACTTTGCCGTCTAAGTCAAACAGTAATCTAACATATATATCGTTATGGGAAAAATACATCAAAGATGTGAATGATCCTGTACATAGTCTAATTAAATCCAGGATAACAAAAACCAGCCATTCTTACAAGTTGTGGACAACTTTCAATTACAAGAAAAATATAACGAGAACTGAGCAGGCTTCAATCTATCAATATTTTGTGTCTGTAAAGTATCTGTAATGTAGTAATTTGTTAAATCAGTGTTGCACGCTACCTGTAATKCAGTGTTTTCTCACACTTTACACTGCGATAGGAATGCAATAAACATATTATTTTAATTATATATAATGACAATCTTTCTTTTTTGTTTTGACCTTGCAGGATGATAAGTTACTACATACATTCAATCATGCATTCACAATTTGCCTCTRGAAMTKATCTTCAATTTTATCCTYACCCTCCATATCAGCTCTGGRACCTTGTGAACTGAACCGCATAATGCAGTTATACAACGCGTTGCAGTTATAAAATCATGACGTAATAGACTTTCCAGAAGAATTCGTGTCAGATAATCCACATGTTGGATTCTTAGTCCTCCTGAGATAACTGAAACCATAAACATGTCATAAATTATGTAGTATATGGATATTGGGCTGCCTGTGTTATTCAAYAAAGTAAGCTCACAAAGTGTTTCACTGAATATTTTAAAAGTTATAATGTTATATATCTTATATATCTGTACTCACTGTCTTTGCTCTGGTTGAACAAGTATTTTTTTCAATAAAAAAGTCAATAAAACTCTTGTAGCGAGTGATGCTTAAAATAATTAAGCTTAATTAAGTCTTAAGAAGTAAAGTTAAAAAGCTTTAAGAACATCAGATTAATTTAGCTTAAATAATAATTTTATGAAAACACTGTACTCACAAGAACGACGCAGTATTTTRCAATACTCATACCACTGTTGATGGAATATACAGGATTTGTAAAAATACGGTTCATAAGTTTCGTGCGAACGATGATTTTTGTGAACATCAATCCAATATTCCACCGCTCCCGCCATTTTGAAATATTCCCGTCATGCACCTGAATACTGAGCCCGTTGTTCTTCAAACCAGCGGTACTTCTTGTTTATAATTTGGCTGTTGTTGGGTTRTTTTRATGGCCGACTTTCTCGATGGTAAATTTAYATTTTTATATATCTTTGAAAGATTTTATTGTTATTGATTATTTTTGTTTTTTGTGCTGCAGCTTTTGCCGATTTGGAAAGCCCAGGATCGCTTCTACCTTGCGGTAATTGTGGACGAAAGTTCAATGCAGACTCGTTGGTGGGTTTATTTTGGGTTTGACAACTAAGTTATGCTTTTTCGTCAATCAAATATCCCTTCTTGGGGCTATTCTAGTTTGGTTTGCTCTTGATTTTGAGACATATATACCATAAGCTCGTTATTTGTCTACATAGCGAGAATCTTGTCATACTTATTACTTATTTTCTTTTGTTATTGTAAGAAAAGTCCCGCAAATTTGAATCTATTTTCCAGACAATTAAGAATTCAATACACAAGGTTATTCATTGTTTCCCTGAATTCGTGCTAAAAACACAATATCTTTAGGAACGACACGGGATAATCTGCAACAAATTAAAGAAACGAAAACCATTTGATTCATCAAAACAAAGGCTTGGTGGACTCGCTCCTKCTGATGTACAGCAGATCAAGAAATCWCCYGATCCAGTGAAACCCAAAAAGGTTTTCTGTTGATTTTCATTGTAATTCTCTTTCTCACACTATTAATAAAAATTATTTTTATATTTTTTAATATTAAGGGTACACTAATCTTAGATAGATAATCAAAAATTGATTATAATATTTATTAATAATATTTTTTTTATTATTATCACAATATATACTTTTACATAAATATACACAACGGATTACAAATACAATAGACCAAGAATTAATTAATAATATTGATTAACAATCAGTTTTTATTTAATTTTTTTACGTTAGAACAATTGGAAGCAGAAACATGAAGATTTCCTCAACACCATTCGCTCTGCAAGGGGAGTAACAGCAGCTATCAAGAAAGGSGAGCCCCTCCCCCCTCCCCCGCCCACAACGGTGAATCCTGACTATGTACAGTGCCCTCACTGTAGCAGAAGATTTAACGAACATGCTGCAGAAAGACACATTCAATTTTGCAAGGAGCAGAAGAGCCGGATAGGAAAATCCCCTTCTGCTGCAGCAAAATCAAGAGTTGCAGCAAGAACACAGGTTTTGAATGTTTTGGATTTGTTATATATACCCTACTTTCCATAATCAGGTTCAATGACCATGAAGAAAGTATTGAATTGAGGCGTCAAGGTACAGTGAACGTAAAAGAAAAGATCTGTTATCAGTGTTCCTTGACGCCTCGGTTCAATGCTTTGTTCGTGGTCACTGAAGCTGAATACGAAAAGTCGTGAATATTGTGAATAAAAGGAAGGAAGTATAAAATGCATGTTATTCTTTAATTTCCTATTCATTCATCCGTTTAGTGCAWTATTTTCATTTATTGTTTCATTGCCTTTATTATTCTCATCACTTCATTTTAACCGTTTTGTCAATTATTAGTCTTTTCATAATTATTTAATGTTTTTTTTCTTTTGTTGTTGTTGTTCATGCACTCACTCATTTATGTGGTTTGTCCATTCATTTGTTCACTTATTCATTTGTTTCATTATCAACTTTTCAGTTCATAAAAACATCTTTTTACCATAGTGTTTTGTTTACATTTGTATCCTCGCGCACGCATTGTAATTTCATTTTGCCCTGATGATGGACAAGTTGTCCGAAAGCTCGGAAAATTAAAACACACGTAGAAGAAACAAAAACTGAGTATTTATCTTTTTTTCAGTTGTTCATCCATTTGTTTATTCATCCATTCATTCATTTTTCAATTGATTTTTCAGTATCGATCAGTTATCAGTTAGTTAATGAACCAATCATATTTTTAGTACAAGCCCCCTCCTCCTAGTAAAAGAAATTCTTCTGGAGTTATTACCAAAACCAAACAGCCTTTTTCAACAAAGCCAACAAACGGAACAACAGAATACAAAACCACTAGATATGACAGCAAACAGTTGTCCTCCAAGAATCAAGGTAATCAAACCCCCTTTCCCATTCCAAGCTCTAAGCCCACAACTTTGCACCCCCCTCAAACCCAGACCACCATACCCTCCACCCCCCCTCCATCCAAACCCACTTCTATTCCTGTTAATGTGTCCCCCCCAAACCCAGACCACCAAACCCTCCACCACCATCCTCCATCCAAACCCACTTCTATTCCTGTTAATGTGTTCCCCCCCAAACCCAGACCACCATACCCTCCACCACCATCCATACATCCAAACCCACTTCTATTCCTGTTAATGTGTTTTTTACTTGATATTAAATCAGTTCCAATTCATATTCATATTT